TTTAGTGGGTGATCTTGTTAATGGAGTTGTACTAAGTTTCTTTGAAGAAGGAACAACACTGAAACAGATCAATGCAAACAACCGGCCTCACTGTAATAGCCAAGAAAGAGAACTCTAAATCCCCACTAGACTTCAGACCCATTGCCTGTTGCAATGTTATTTACAAGACCATCTCAAAAATGGTTGCCAATAGGCTCAAAGAGGTCCTCCCATCAATCATCACAGGTAACCAAACTGCTTTTATTAAAGGCAGAGAGCTTCTGCATAATGTCCTCATGTGCCAAGAATTAGCTAAAGGCTATAATAGAAAAGGAAATCTAACACGGGGGGGCAAAGGGGAAAATAGAACCCAAAGTGGATCCAATAATATAATAAAACACATAATTTTACCTCCATAACCTTCTCAGCAGCCATAACCTCAGAGACTAATTCGCCCACAATATAAATAAACACCTCCTTCAGACTAAACTTTTTCAAGATAACGGAGGTTGGACTTGATTTAAATATGTTGTCAAGATTTGCACCGTCTTTACCAATGATAAAGTCGATATACAACAAGGGAATTCGTCTTGAGTGTATAATCGGCAAAACGAGTAAAGCGTGAATTATTCTACTATATACATTGCAAGAGAGAACTGCCGTATAACAGACCACAAACAAGTTGTTGAGGTTTTTTTCCTGTATATATTTAATGGATTTCAAAATACGTCCTTGAAGAATTAATTGCCTCTTAGTAAACTAAATAATGAACTAAGTAGAGTGGTAAGGTCTACACACACCTCTCTAGACCCTGCTTTTTGTAAATTTTTTACTGGGTTTTTATTAACATACTAATTAACAAATGGGAAAAACTAAAAATAATAATTTTTGGAGGAATTGAGGGGCACTAACCTCATGCCTACTAGGAGCCCTCAGCCCTAGATATGCAAATCCGGAAGAAGATATTTCGTAAGATGACAGACGAATACGATCCTGTGCAGAATCCATTTGAATAAACAACATGAACTTTGCATTCAATCGTACTCTAGCTTTAAACTCCAAAATCATTTTATCATCAATTCCAAACTCTCTCATATCGGAAACAATTAACAGAGGAAAAACTGACATGTTATCTACATAGAGAATCACAACCATTAAGATACCCGATAATGAATACAATGACTAGCAAAGTTAATAATAACATACGAAGTACTAATTAATAGAGAACATTCCACACCAGTTAGATAGAAATTAATACTGCATGGATAAGACTTCAAAGTGTGGAGAATAATCAACATTTTTGCATGTGCAACCGGTACAAGCAGTCCTGTTAAGCACCACTCCTGACAAGGCATGGTTCTTAAAAAATATTTGTGAACCTCGTCAAAAACATCAATAGCATGAGCAGTGGAGTGCCTAGAGTCCTTTTTTGCTGAGACCATAGCCTATGCAGTACACACGAACAATTTTAGATACTATCGCACGCAACCTGAACACTAATTAGAAAAATGTTCATTCTACTTTCTCTAGCAACAGTTAATGTCCATGATACTAGCATTAAAAAAAATTGAGTTTATACAAATCCATGATCATATATTGGGATTCTCTGTGTGACATTACCGCATGGAGCATTCATAGGTCTGTGTGACATTGAAAGGTTGAAGCATTCACAAGTCCGTCCAACATACCACCCAAATGCAGCGAAACTGTGTTTGGAGTGGGAATCTTTCGATGCAGAAGTGGATTAAAAACATTAAACACCTCAAAAGGAAAATGAGAATGGAATGAGGAAACACAAAAAGCTGAAGATCATGACATGGAAAAGAAGGGGTGAAAATGATGAGCTTCAAGACAGAAAATCCAGCCCCGACAATTAGCAAAAGATAATGCACCTTCTTCAGCCATAAGACCATGCCGACTGCTCTGCCACAGACAACCGTGTCGGGCTATCAATCTCAGTCTCTAACCCCGCCCCTCGCCTTCCTCCCAATCTAGCACCCAATCACAAGCAACCCAATAAGAAAATCATGAAAGTCATAGAAAGGCATCAGATATAATTCAGGCTTTACGTACAATTCCAACTCCAGCTAAAAACTGGAAATCAACCTCAACATTGTTCTTCTCAAAACGTGGCTTGAGGATACTATTGAAACCTTTAATGAAACCATCATCCTTTGCAAGAACCAGCATCCTAAAAATATTCCACCCTAAACAATTTTCATGATCACCAACCAATGAACTACATTAGTGTTTCACAAACACAAACCAATGAAGTACATTAGTGTTTCACAAACACAAAAAGGCATCATTCAAAGGAGTCAATTGGTCTGAGATAATAAATGAAATTCACTCAAAAGGTCAAGACATACAAAAAATTGGGGTCCTTAATTATGAAAAGCATAAACCGAATCATGTAAGGACATAAACTTTTTTAAATCCATGATTTTCGATGATATCTTGGCTGGCGAGACATGACACCAATAGAGCATTCAGTGTACTAATAAAGAAATGACGTGGTCCCGAGCTGCATTTGGGAGAAAAAAAATAAGACTACTATGTATGCTGGTATCATAGGAGTGGAAGCCATGAGGGTGTTATTATCTCCATCTCAGTGTAATTTTCCAGTTAGACTTTTTAAATTTATGTGAGGAAAAAGAATCATTGGATCCGTAATAGTTTTTATATTAATATAATTTTTAATTTATACAAGGAGAAAAATTATAGATTTATAGAAATACATCAAACATAGAACATTTATATTTGACCTTTAAATAATGTCATAAAGATTCTTGTAAAATTGAAAAGAATTCGTCCTAATCCGTGCCAACGCCAAACACCACCGGCTCCCCCTCCAACCAACTTTCGGCGAACAGGCCGAAGCAGACGGCCAAAACCCACTGGAAAAACAACCCAACAAACCCACAAACCAAATTCAACCAATTCAACATCCAATAAAAAACACCCAATCAGCGGGTTATCAAAAAAACACCCAATCGAATCAAAAAAATACCCAATCAGAGAGAATTCAACATCCAATAAAAAAACACCAATCAACGAATCACTTGGATTAATCCATGAAATTGAAATCAAACTCAAAAATCTTGAATTGGAGAACCGCCTCTGCCACTGTGTTCCGTCGACCCCGTGCACGCATGGAACTCGAAAACGGATTCACGCGGCCGGCCTGGAAAACGAATTCACCAAACTAAATCCAGGTATTCACAGGTGACTGGAAAACGAATTCACCAAACCGAATTCACCAAACCAAATCCAGGTATCTAGATATGGTGACGCTGCAACCATCGCAGTATTCACAGGTGACGGGCTTTGTCCAGAATAATCATCAATTAAGGCATCGCTGAACGAAATCCCAGGTATGACCCTTATCGGCAAAATTGAATAAGAGTAAATAGTTATTCCTTTTTTTTTCTCTTGTCGGCTATGTTGAGAATCACAGTCATTTGATTTGTTTTACAACTTGGGCCGGAGTTTCCACTCAATGAATTGTTTCATATATTGTCCTTGACGACAGTGGTTTGATTTACGTTCAGTGTAGAATATGATGTAACACTGGATTTTGTATGATTGCTCTTTAGCTTAACTATTCATATTTCCAACATATTACTAGATATAATATGCTGAAAATCTCTATTTTTATGATGTTATAGATAGTCTAGATCAGATATTGCTACATTAACCACCAACATTTGGACGATATCTCATTTGTCGTCATTCTCTATTTATAACTTATTGCAGGAAAGTTTGGCCCTGATGAATAATAGCAGTGCAGTTTGTATATGTGTTTAATTTGTCTTAATTTTGTATACTTTCAGGGAGTTCCCGAGGCTGATCTTCGAAGGGAAATCATAATGTGTCGGGCCAAGTTGACGGACATATCAGAAACTGATTTGGTATTTGAGGTATATATACATTTCAGAGAGGGAAAAGATAAATATGCACACTCAAGTGTGTATTTATTTCCATGCTAAATGTGTTGCATGCATAGGACGATACCGAGATGATTGACGTTTATTTGTCCGTGTCGAGAGAAATTGAATGGATGAAAGACAACATTGTTACCATCGATGAGATCCATAAGCTTCTTCAACTGCCTTTCCAAATGGGAGTAATTAAAAACCGGCTTATGGATGGCTAGGTCGTAAGGAATAGCTTGGAGCCAGTTTTCAATTACTCCCATTGGGAAAGGCAGTTGAAGAAGCTTCTGTATCTTATCAATGGTAACAATGTTGTCTTTCATCCATTCAATTTCTTCCGGCACGGACAAATAAAAGTCAATCATCTCGGGATCGTCCTATGCATGCAACACATTTAGCATGGAAATAAATACACACTTGAGTGTGAATATTTGTCCTTTCCCTCTCTTAAATGTATATATACCTCAAATACCAAATCAGTTTCTAATATGTTTGTCAACTTGGCCCAACACATTATGATTTCCCTTCGAAGATCAGTCTCGGAACGCCCTGAAAGTATACAAAATTAAGACAAATTAAACACATATACAAACTGGCACTGGTATTATTCAAAAGGGCCAAACTTTCCTGTAATAAGTTACAAATAGAGAATGACGACAAATGAGATGTTGTCCAAATGTTGGTGGTTAATGTAGCAATATCAAATCTAGACTGTCTATAGCATCATAAAAATGGAGATTTTCAACATATTATATCTAGTAATATGTTGGATGTATGAATAGTTAAACTAAAGAGCAATCATACAAAATCCAGTGTTACATCATATTCTACACTGAACGTAAATCAAACCACTGTCGTCAAGGAAATAGGTTTGAGAAGCTCAGGTTAGATCTGGGCCTTTGTGCTCCCTTCTAAATTTTCATTCACACGTGGACACTTAAAAGCCAGCTCAGAGTGTACACGTCGTGTCATATGCTGGAAATTTTGAAATGAGAAGGAATACTATGGGGCACACTTCGAAAATAATCTTGTCATCATCGCGCACACTACTCAAAGGTGCCGTATTGCTCTCAAGAAACGGAAAGGGCACAATAACACATCTTTGAATTGGAAAAAAAAAATCTCGTGGTCAGCACCTTTTACACTCGTCTTCTCCGAGCACAAACCCTAACTCTCTGCAAGAAAATTTGCTCGGCAACAATGGTGAGAAGCAAAATTGCTATACCACAGAAGTTCAATCACTCTAAGGGCTCCAAACCGCAGCCCTCCTGGTTCAAGAAGTATTGCCAAGTCCGCAAGAAACTTCAAGAAACAAGAGAGGACGAGGAACCAGTGGTGAATCCAGGGTCTCCAGCAAGTATCCCTCACATGCAGCAGCAAGAAGATGATGTAGCACATCTTCAACCTTCAAATCTACCACAGGTGCTGCTCATCGAATATCACAAGTCTGAGGAGGAAGCAGAGACCGCTGAAGTGCCGAAATCTGAGCTAGCACCACCCACCGATGGACCAACTCAGCCTCCACCAGACGCACCAGTTCAAGAAGATGAAGAGTTCATTCAAATCTTGGATGAAGATCCTCTTGTGGAAGTCTCAAAAGTCCCTTTTCAAGAAGACTCTGCAGCGAAGAAGAGCAAAAAGAAAGTGATTTCCAGCATAGTCCCTCAACGAAGATCTAAGAGAAAATTGAAGCTGAAGGAAGACTCAAGTTCAGAAGCACCACCCCAGAAGAAGCAGTCTACATCATCTACTCCTATGATTTCTGCAGCAGATGTCACACCGGTGGTAAAAAGCTAGATCTCTTTTTAGTAGTGTGCACAAGAAATCTATTATTGTTCAAAGAAAAATTGATGTGGAAGATTTTAAACTCAAGACCAATCTGATTCCTCTCCTTGAAAAATCCAAATTGTTGAGATCTGTCACTCTTCAAGGATCCTTTGTGAAATCTGTTATCTGTGAGTTCTACTGCAACCTGTCTGAATCTTGTGCTGATCATGCTGACCCCATGTTTCATAAGGTGTTCTTGCGAGGAAAGACCTATAAACTCTCCCCTGCTCTTATTAATACTGCTCTTGATCTTACCCCTAGCAAAAAGGACACCAAAATCTCTGAAAAAACCATGTGGTTAGATCTTACAAATGGCCAAAGAGCCTCTCAGTCCAGCAAAGCAAAAATTTCCTCCTCAATTCTCAAAAGTTCCTATGCTATGTTATTAAGGGTTGCAGCACTTCACTGGCTTCCAACAACACACACCAATACTGTTTCCAAAACTATGGCCAGACTGCTCTAGCACAACACACCATTTGACCTAGGACAACTAATTTTTGATCAGATCATGCTCTTTGCAGCTGAGAAATACAAGGTCAACTCCATTGGGCTTCCCTATCCAACACTTCTCTACAGACTATTGATCTCCCAGGGTTTCAACAAAGATGAAGGGGAGGAGGAGGAAAAAGAAGAGCCACCACTCCAAGTGGACAGCAGACACATGGAGGGAAAGCACTACAATGACATGGAGGTTGCTGCTTCAACAACTACAAAACACAAGGAGACACCCTCTTTGGTGAGATTCTTGGAGCAGAAACTGATGCAGGTTAAGGAGGAGCTAGCCAGGACTTTACAGCTGAAAGATAAACTGGAGATTGAGAAGGATCAGTTGGTGGTGTTGCTGCGCCAGGCTAGAGACTCAGCAGAGGAGATCATTGAGAGCACTCATTCTGATGAACAGGAGAGTCACACTGAGGGGGAGAGTGAGGAAGGAAACTCAACTTGATTTGATTATGTACTCACAAAACTCTGTTTTTTGATTGATGGCAAGTGTTGAGGTTGTGTTTGCCTCTGGATTACCAGGAGTATGTGTTTTGCTCACTTGTGACTTGCTTGTGGATTTCACTGTTTTGTTTGGGTTTGTTGCTGTTGGATTTGCTCTATGGTCTCTTTGAAACATTCTATTGTTCTTTATGATCTATGTTTGCTATTATGCACTCCATTGTCAAGTGTTGTCTCCTGCGCATGGGTCTAGTGACGGATGTATGTACAGCTCTATGTCTTCGCTCCAAACCTTTTCAATAAAATTTGGCATTTTTTGTGCAAAAAAGGGGGAGAAGAGGTTCAACACGGCTGAGTAGTGGTTTTTGTCAAAAATTGCCAAAGGGGGAGATTGTTGGTTCCTTGGGTGTGTCTTAGCCTCTTTGTCATAGGTGTTGGCTTTATTTTTGGCAAAAACCATACGTAGTTGTTTCTAAGTACTCAGTTTGTTCTAGCTATGTGTTTTATAGGGCAGTAGCATCCTGTACGTCACACAAACAGTCCCTGACCTTCTAGACTCTTTTAACAAAAGGCAGACTGCGGCTCACCAAACTGAAGAAGAACTCTATCAACTAAAGGCGACTGCAGTTCACCAAACTGAAGAAGATATGTGTGGTATCAGAAGGAAATTATAACAAGGAATTTACCCGATAAACACAAAACTGGAGGTAGAGGTATATCAGGATTCTTCTAGGGTTGATCTCACCTTGCGAATATAAATAGAAGGGAGAACTGCCTGGATTGGGTGTGAATTCAGAGAGCAAGAGAGAGAATATATTGTGAGAAAATTCTGAATAATCAATCAGCCAAACAGATCGGAGAACACAGATGGCTGGCAGGCAGAATGATATTCTGCTTGGAGTTTGACGTGCGTTCCAGACAGTTGAACTGAGAAGAGCTGGAGCGTAGGCCAGAAACACGTCTCAGATAAGTGGTTCAAGTGTTTCAGTCTCGGTATCTCTGCATAAACCGAGTTTGTTGCATCCCATTAAGTTGTTGAGTTTAGATCAATGGATAGATCGAGTCTGTTGTCATTGAGGGTGTAAACTCTGAACTGATTTAGTGGGAAGGCTGTTACACTTACGTGGGCCTCGCAGACGTGGGAGAAATTGCTCCGAACTGCGTAACCAATTTTGTGTGCTGTTTGTTTTGTTTCAGTCTATCTATTCAGCAGTTGGTGAAGCACTTTGTTTCGCAACTTCATATTAGAAAGTGCTTCAGCAACCTCTGCGGCAACTTGTTCTGTTTTAGATTGCTACAGGTCGTACTCTGTGGAAAGTTAAACTTTCAATTTCCTCTTCACCATTCTATAATTCCATCTTCAAATAGCAACTTGATACCCCGAGTCTCGGGTACAACATTAAGGTATTCAATCATCCCAAATAAGTGTATATATTTTAAAATTTCCTTACCGGTGACCTTAATTGCAACCCAAATTGCTGCGATTCATCTCCATCCCGATAACAGTTGTGATTCATCTTTTGTGCGTCTCTGTTTTCCGTGTTTAGAGCAGGTACGATTTTTTTTCTTTCCGGCAAAAGGTATAGAATGGATGGATGATGGGTTACAACTTGAGGATTTATAATCTACTATTAACTTATTATCTTGATATATTTATTTAATTAGTTTTTTTGTTATCATTTTATGAAGTACAGTAGCATTCAATTTTCCTTTTTTACGGTTGGAGTTTATAATTGGTGTTTTTGTCAAGTAGTTGGATACTGATGATTTTTTTTAGATGTTAATCTCTTTTTTGTTCTTTTTTTGATAATTATTGTGCTAATCTTTTTATCCTAATTTCAAGCCGTTAGACACCGATGAACTTTTTTTCAATTCTTCAATTGAAGCTCATCACTTTGAGCAAAATTATGTCTTATTCCCGGTTAGACTTTGTTGTGTTTGCGATGTATTACTTTGACAATATACTTTTTTGATGTTTTTGGATTATTTATGTCGTATATTATGTTCTATATTTAGTTTTAGATTGTTTTGTGGATATTTTTCAATTTAAAAATTGAGGCTTACGCCTCGAGGCTTACGCAATACGCCATGAAAAGAAAACGCCTCGAAACCGCAATACGCAATTTCGAACATTGGCGGGTACAATGGCCCTGTGGTTGGGTTTGGTTGGCTGCCAACTGCCCTGTCCCATAGTGGCTGGTGGCGGTAGTAAGCTCTATGCTTGGCTGGTTCTAGCGGTGTCGGTCGTAGTTTGCCGGGTCAGCTGGTTATAGTTGGTCCGAGTTTGGGTTTTCTGTTCCAGATTGATTTATGACTCTTGACTGGTAATCTAAATTACTTGGGTTTTGTTTGATTATGCATGAGAATAATCGGTGACTTTTTGTCCCCGTTATTTGATATGTTTGTTATGAGAATTGACATTTGAGTTAAATTAATCTTATTAGTGATGAATTGTAATTTAAGAATTAATATGTGGAAATAAATCACTTCGTATAATTAGGTAGATATGAACTGAAGTGAATCATTGAATCACCAATAGGATTTAGATAGGAATTGGGCCATGTGAAACATCGTCACACAGCTAATGGTCTTGGTTAAAAATGTACATATGAGAGTCCGCAACTTGTCTTGACATCGCAGGGATAGGGTCTTCAACATGCCAAAGTGAATCTTCTTTAGGTTCTTGAACCGACTCTTTTATAGCATCGTCTGAGGTTGCACGACTCATAAGTATATGAATATGTCTTAGTCATCATAGGTAAGAGTCATGAATGGATAAATTAGTAGGATGATTCTAGAATGTTAATGATACAATAATGTTGTACCTATTGTGCATGATTTTGTTTGAATGCATGTTAATGTGGTACTAGTCTTTGAGTTAATTTTGACATTGAGAATATTCTTGCTTAGGTCTCAGTTGAGCGTATAGTCTTTGTTTTCTTTGATTGCACGCAGAAAGAAATCAATAATTTGATGATTGAGCGTTTTCTGGCCAACTCCGGGTCGGAGCGTTTTCCGGCCAACTCCGGCAAATATGACGGCGGGAACCAACACCAATGCGGTCGTGGCATCCCGGCAACCTCCAAGGACCCCTCAATTGCAAGATTTGATGAAGATTTGCAAAACCCCAAATTTTGGATCCAATTTCGAATTTTAGGGTTTTTCGAGTAGAAAAATTAAGATTCGAGAAGTTACAGGCCAAATTAGACAAAACGGTTTGGATATTATTGATCCTCGTCTCAAGACGAAGAGAATGACATTGGTCCCGCCAGAATCGGAAAAAGTTCATTTTCCGGCGACTTTGACCGGCGGGCGGCGGCGGCGGGGCGTGGAAGAAAAGAAAAGAAGAAATGGGGTCAAATTGCAAATTTTGAAATATATAAAATTTGAATTTGGCCCTAATGACCGGAAGTTAACCTAGAAACGGGCTAATGTCTCATTAGTGAAAGGATTGTGTAAGTTCAGGGATTTTTGTGAAAGGATTTGAAGTTCAGGTACCACTTCGAAATTCCAGCTAAAGTTCAGGTACCATTTGTGAAATTTATCCTTAAACATCATCACGCAATAATGTACTCTCTCCCGTCCTAAAAATATTTCTTGTTTTGACTTTTTTTAGTCAAATAGTGACACTCCTTGACTATATAAATCAAACATAATCTAAATAAATAAATGGTATAAAAATTTGATATATCAAAACTATATCCTAAGATTTACCCAACTAAATTGAATTTATATTATAATTTAATATACTTTTACACAATTTATGGTCAAAAGGTGTCACTATTTGACCAAAAAATTGAAACTGAAGAGAAGTATACGTTAAAAATTGTTAGTCACCTAAAATTTTGAATCAAACGAAAGAAAAAAATAAATTATTTTTCCCGCATTTATCTAGAAACACAAATCCAAAGGTTGTGGTTCCAGGACATTCTTCATCCATCCTTAGAATTAGACCTGACAAAAAATGACCTGATCTGTTTTTTTACCCGAATCTCGATTTGAAAACACTGGGTTTTGAACATGAAAACACTGGGTTTTGAACATAAATTTTGATGACTGAACCCGAGATAACCCGCTAAAAATGGGTCAAACCCGACCGAAACCGAACCCGACCTCACCGACCTGCTAAAGTAAAAAAAATCAAAATCATACATTTTACTGCTCGTTTTTAGTGTATAAATTTATATTTTCAAACAAAATTTTTATATATTATTGCATAACTATTACCGAATAGATATTTGATTTACAGGACCGGAAGTGCGAAGTTGAAGGTGAAGGCCGTCAGAGGGGGTTTAGAGTGGAGGGTGAAGTCCCGAGGAAAAAGGAAGATGAAGACGGTGAATGCCAGTACTCTGGGGGTTGGAAATGTTCTTCTTCCTTTGCGCTATTTCAAAAATATTCTTTACATTTTCTTTTTTTCAATAATATCTTTCTATTTTATAATGCTGTTGGGAGGTCTGAAACCACGAGGAGGGCTGTTCATCGGTCCAAACCCAGACTGGATCGGACCGAAGACCGAAATCAATAAAAATGAGGGCCGAAGACCGGACCTAAGTGTCTTCGGTCATTGACCGAACCAGACCGAAATCATGTGGTCCGAACCGACATAGACCGAAAAAGACCGAAAAATAACCCTTTAAACACCCCAATGTAATTCTGTAAAAATTGGAGACAGAACTAGCATCTGCCGATAAAGGTAAAGAACAAACAAAATCAATTCCTAATTAATTCAAAAATCATTTTAAAGAGTCATTAAATTTATAGGCACCAAGGGATCGTGGATCAGGTTGGGATTAGGAAACATTTTCAAATATAAAACAAAAAAAAGACCAGGAAAACCAACTTCGAGATATTAGAGTACTTGAGTGGTGCTGGTTGAGGTCGGATCTTTCTTCAGCGGTCACCGGGACTTGCAATTTGTGAAGAAAAAATTACAGAGTATAGGCTAGGATTACTGAAGGGGCAGGGAAATTGATTTTTTTAAAGAATATAAAGAGGGATATAAAGAAACAGTGGGTAGGGGTGGGCACGGTCCGTGATGGTCCGTGATACTACCTGAACCTATCACGGACCACTCTTATTTATACGGTTCGGTATCGGTACGGGATGAACTCCAAAACCATTCGGTACCATTATATTTGGAAACGTTATCGGTACGGGATAATTTTTTCTCAATTCATATAATATCGGAATACTAGTAACTTTAAAAAAAATAATGCTAATAGTAATGAGAAATATAATAAGAACAATAATAATGAGAGACTTTAAAAATGAATAATAAAATACAAAGTATTCTATATACGGTAAGATAAAGTAGACAAATACTCTATAATTATTTGAGACACGTGCTCCGTATATAGCGTTGGACGATTCAGTCCGTGATAATCGGTTTTAAATATATGTATCACGGTCCCATCCCATTTGGTAACGGTTCGGTTTCGGTTCGTGTTGAAAAAAATCAATTCCATTTGAAAATACTATAAACGTTTCGGTACCATTACAGTCCGATATGGTACCATGTTAGTTCGGTTTTTTTGCCCACCCTAATAGTGGGTACAAAGTTAGGGAAAGTGATAGTAAAACATGGAGTAATGTATTTAGCATATATATAAAGTGGATATGAAATACAGATGGTGCTTACTGGAATTCGCTCATACACAGGATGTTACTATTTATAGGATTCGGTCATTTGGGTTCAGACCAAAATAAATTCGGGTTTGGACCAGACCGAACCGTTACCCAAAATCAGAAATTAACTAGACCTAAATGTAATCGGTCCGGGTTCGGTCTGGACCTATCGGTCTGGTTTTTCGATCTGGACCTAAACATAAACACCCCTAAGCACGAGTCCTCAATACTCGTTCCTCTTGTCTTTTAATCTTCTTGAAAACAATTTAATTTATTTTTTCTTTCAATTGAATGCGTAAATGATCTAATTTTGTTTTCTCCAATTTGGGTGACTATTGGTTGCTTAGAGAAACCATATTTGGGTTTTACCAGAACCTTTTTTAATGTGTAATTATATTTTTGTGTTGCAAATCATTATTTTTTAAAAAGACAATTAGATTTTTTTTAAAACATAGAAAAGATTTCGGGGATATGGGCTTATAGGGGACGAGGTCGGAAGCGTAAAACGTCATTTTTTTAAACTTAGAAAAGATTTGGGTGTGGGGACGCTCCCAAGTACCCGACTCGGGATGTTTCGGGGACGAGAAGCGGCACCTATTTGAAGAATCCGTGTAACATAGCCTGGCTCCCTTAATTGTTCAATTTAATTGTGTTCTTTTATTTGTTCAATTTAATTTTGTTCTTGGAAACAACCTCCTTACTTCCGAGTTGGGGCAAGGTCTGCATACATACACCCCCCCAGACCCTACTATAGTGGGATTCAACTAGGTTGTTATTGTTATTTGTTCAATAATAATTTCATATCTATTTTTTAAAAAAAAGCATAATGAATTAAATTGAAGAGGCCGTGAAGTCTAGGGGTGCCAAAAGTTACTCAAACAAAATAAGTAATCAAAACCAAGTGGAGACCAAAGTTTAAAAGAAATAGAGAGTACGTAGTATATAAATAGCCATCTAAATGATTGAAAGAAAATAAAAAAACTACAGCTAGCCAGAAGCATCTTTGCATAGTCATTTGGTTGGCTTTGGCATCAAGAAACAGCTATGGGGTAATTAAAAGACACTCAATTTCCTATACGGCCTTTCCCAACTTGAAGTATGAGGCCCCGAAACTAGCCTTTCTTCCTAAACCATTTCTGCAAAAACACGTTTTCCATCTTTCTTTCGGTCCTCTGGAATCAAATCCTGCATATAAACAACACTCTGAGTCAACTAAAGTTACAAACCCTTTGTTCTCATTCTATAGCGTTCATATCCTCCTCTTGAGTCGAACCACCTAGAGGAAAATGATACAATAATGATAATCACAAATACTTGTATCGAGTGAAGTGGAGTCTCAACAACCAGAGGAGGAAGAACGAGAAATTAAAATACAAAGCTGATGACTCACCAACAATACAAATAGTCACCTCTCTAAGTGTGTATGGTTTCAAGTACACCAAAGCCCGACTTGATTTCCGTATGTTTTCAACATTTGCACCATCTTCACCTATGATAAGATCAATATACGACAGGGGAATTTGTTTGGACGCCAGAATCTGTAAAATGAGCAAAGTTTGGATTAATCTATATATTGCAAGACAGCCTTGCAGGAAATGGAAATAAAAGATTTTACAATGTGTTATTGATCTGCACCGATACCCGAATCCAAACACAAATGCACCCACAGTAAAAGTAATGAAAACTATTTTAATTAATACTCCCTCATTTCCATAATTTTCTTCATAGATTGACTTCACATGACTTTTAATAAGATAGAACTTGTGTGGTTGTAGTTTGTGAAAAGTAAAAAAGAAATAATATGAACCATAAAATCTTTTCCTCGAAGAGACAGTGGAAGAAAATGTTGGGATAACAGAAATATGAAATTTATACAGATAATTATGGGACGGTGTGAGTAAAAGTTAAAGAAATAGAAATCAAATAGGCTAATTGTACAAAAAAAAGATGTGCTTTCGGTGAAATGGATACACACTAGGTATCTTAAAGGCTCAAGTGTCTGGGATCAGTCCTAAACGTGATTCTTGCTACTGCTGGGAAAAAAGATGGTTAGAGTTAAGAGTGATTTCAGTAATATGCACCCAACTACAAACTATAACTCTTCCACAGCATCTGGTATGGAATAATATTTCTATTCCTAAGCATCAGGTCCATGTCTGGCTCTAGGGGTGGACACGGTACCGGTACGGTACCGTCACCGGCAACGGTACCGCCGGTACCCGCCACCGTCACCGGCAAGGTCGCCGTGTCACCGGTTCCGGGAACCGGTACCGGTACCGCCACTTTCGGTACCGGTTCCGGTACCTATTTTTTGGTACCGGAACCGGTATAATTTTTTTTTTTTTTTTTTTTATATGAAATGCAAAAAAGTTAAAAAAAAAAGGTGGGGGCGAAACAATTGCATTCTTTCCTTAAACAATTGCAATTTTTAAACAATTGCAATTTTACAATTGCAATTTTTTATAATTTAAAAATTAAAAAAAAAATAGGGGGGGGGGGGG